GGCGCCCAACTTTTGCCCTCGGGCGACTAGAAAATCTTAGATTTTTCATACAAATCATATGCTGGGCACCCTAGATTTTACAGTTTCAGAGCACTGGGCTCCCTTCAATTTTCCTTAGAGCACGGCCTTGAACCCATTCGCCCCTGTGCCGCTGTAACCGCCTGTGAACCACGTTGCTTCTACTGCTTGTGACATCGTCTTTCTAAAAGTTTTCCTGAAAACTTCCCACCAAAATGAAGCCTACTAAATGCTTAGCAAAAGAAAAAAAATGAGGCAAGAAAAGCGAAAAAAGAGGGGAGGAGAGAAAGCAAAACGTATCTCAAAATTTTGCTTTCTGTGCATGCCCAAACCTCGCTGGCTAATATTTTGTTTCTGGATCAGAAGGCCACAAAATGTACGACCTGTAAACGGCTTTGTGGTAAGTTTTGCCTCTTTATAGCACGACGGTGAGCAGAAAACCGCTTGACTAGTTTCAAAACACATTTTTTGGCAAAATTTCCAGGGGCAATGGGTCAAATGCCCTGAAATCCTCTTGTGAGAGACCTTTGAATTTTTGCATTTTGGGCGGTCACTTTTGGGACGTTCAACTATTGTCAGAAGTCACTAGCAGAGCTAGAAAAAAACTTAATTGAATTCCAGCTTTTTTGCAGAGGGGTGGGGGGGGAGGGCATGCAGCTCTGACATTTTGCTTGCCCAGGGCTGTTTTTTGCTCCTCTTTGGTAATAGTGAGCTTACGCAACTGGACAGAAGAGGAAAGAAGACATAGACGGCAAACCTTGTGTGACAAGTGTGACAATAATTTTGTTTCTTTCTTAGAATATCATTAATTCCAAAGGCTGGCTTGAAGAGATTTATCTGTTCAGCATATATACAAAAATAAACTTTCCAGTTACAATGAGAATCAACAGTTATTAGCATGGATACTTACAGTGTAACTAGTGAAGGAATTTGCCATAAGACGTAATTATTGTGGTTTCTGTCAACAGATTGATGTGAAAGCAAATTCTGATCTCAAACATGTAAAAGACTCCCTGGCAGCAGAGAAGAAAAAGAAGAAAACACTTCTAAGAAGCTTTGATGATGTAAGTTTATGGTATTGCTGTAATTGTAAATCTATTATTTTGTGTATTTTACAACTCTACTGGAAGCTAGGAGCTGCCTCCCAGCTTACCTTTACCAGAATTTCATTGCTTCTTAATAGCTTGTACTTCATAAAAAGGACCAAGCAATAACTGCATTTAATTTACTTCATTGTTTTGACCTTTCCAAGGATCAATCTCAACTGAAAAACAAAGAAAAAGAACTAAAGAAGCTAAGTGATCTTCTTGTGAAGCTGGAGCAGACAAGCCAAGCAGACAGCAATGCAGTTCAAGCAGCTCAGGATCATTTCTCCTGAGCTTTTTATCTTATTTTATTTTATGTTGTTGTATTGAATCGCCGATATAGGTATTGTCTTTCATTGTAAACACAACAATAAAATACATTCATACATTCAAAGCCTGAATCCAATATTAAAAATTTTTAAATTTAAATACTTCAAATACGGCACAAAGCTTGTTTAAGCCCAACCAATTGGCCACAAAGGCACAATCTTTTCCACGAAAATCCTCTAACACCGTGTCCCAAATGATCGCTCGCCACGCCAAAGATTTTACATGAAATCGAAGGTGCAGTTCAAATTCCCCACCCCTAAAGCATAGGGATCAAATTCCCCACCCCCTGGAAGACTCTGATAATCAAATTCCCTCCTCCCCGGGACAGCAAAGGTGTCAAATGCCCGGGGTATGCCCGGGGGGGGCATGTTGAAGCTTCGATTTGACCGATACATTATGTTGTCGTTTTTTTTTTGCAAGTTATGAAAATATTGGTTTACGGTCATCTCACCATTAGAATATCTCGCGAGATGTAATTTAACCTCGGTTAGTATTAACATTGAATATGCAGCGCCGATATTCTTGTTCTGGGTCCTCAACGTATTGCCAAAAGTGAGTTTTGAATTTCCTGTCTTCTCAATTGGCAAATTAACCATGGCATTTTCAACAGGCCAATCATGGCACATGCTCAAATCCTGGTACACATGTGGGGATTCAGAACACGGATTTTGTTGCCGTTTCGCAGATGGAATCATCCTCGGAGACCCAGGGGCAGATAGTGGGAGCAAGGGAAAGACTAAACGGGCGGAAAAAAATGGCGTGAAGAAAAGTAACTCTTCTCGCCGTTCTTTACTTTTCTTCGCGCCATTTGTTTCCGCCCGTTTAGTCTTTCCCTTGCCCCCACTATCTGCCCCTGGGTCTCCGAGGATGAGATGGAATCAACAAGAGTTCAGTTTTGTCTATGGTGCAGATTGTCTTTTAATTCGCCACCAAAAAGTTGATTCACTGCCAAGCAACTCTCCACCAACTGTGTAGCCTGCATAGCTTGCAGGATTAGCAAGTGAGTGCTGTAGTTTTTGTCAGTGGAGCCACGTGAAGAGTAGGAGTAAGCCAAGTACCCTGGGCATATGAATCAACTGACTTTTGAGATGGATACATACATTGGGGTTATTGTCTAGAATCTCATCTACATGTAATCTTAGTTGAGTAGAATTTGTCATAGTGGCAAGTTAACCTCTTGGAGGCAATTTCGTTGATGATGTGGTGACTGGCCAGTACAGCGCACTGTAAGTTACCTTGCATTCAGAGATGCTTGGATTATCTCTGTGTCAGAAATCAGGGCCATCACTAAGACTTCAAGATGCCAGGTACATGTATATGCAATTACGTGTATTATGAGGAGAATTGAACAGTTACATGTACATTGTACAGGGTTGTCAGAAAGTTTTGAAGTAGACGGCTGAGTTGTCAAAGTACCGTATTTATTCGATTAACCGCCCTGGGCGCTTATTAAATTTTTGGACCTGGAGAGTGGGCACTTATTCGAGGTGGGCACTTATTTGAGGCTGGGCGCTTATTAAGTTTTCACCATTTTCAGCAAGTGAAGTATGTGTATTTTGCAACAAAACAATAAATGCTAATAACAAAACGCAAAGAAGTAACAAAGCAAGGTTTCTGTAAAATACTCTGAAGAAAACTCCGTCCTCAGGGAAGTCTCTTATTAGAATTTATTCACTCAAGTGGGTGGGGTGGGGGTGAGAGCTTATTTGAGTTTGATTGGGAGGAGGAGGGGGTGGGTGCTTATTCGAGGCTGGGCACTTATTAACTTTTTCTGCCTTTAGGATGGGCGCTCTTTGAGGTGGGCGCTAATTTGAGGTTGGGCACTTATTCGAATAAATACGGTAAGCGGCCAGTCCAGGGATATTTTATTTTAAAAACACCATCTGTAAAGAAATGCCAAGCAGAGTAACTGGCCAATAGTAACAAAATAGGCAGCGATTTTTGCCGGCAGCCGGCTACTTTTGACAACCCTGATTGTACGAGGTTCCATTGGCTCAATTTCCTCTTTGGTTTCCTATGAAATCAGCCAGGGAAAAAACTTGTGGCTCAAGTGTTGGAATTACTTCGTGAAAATGACTGATTGTTTGTATTACTATATTTATTTACTACAGGTTGTCATCGGGGGAAGAAACAAATATCTTATCAATGGATGCAATGCCAACAACACCAGAGTCCAGGACCTGTTCCGCTCAGTCCAGCTTAATGTTAACAATCCTCATTTTCTTATCATGCAGGTACAATGCAGGTTCTGTCAAAANTGTACGAGGTTCCATTGGCTCAATTTCCTCTTTGGTTTCCTATGAAATCAGCCAGGGAAAAAACTTGTGGCTCAAGTGTTGGAATTACTTCGTGAAAATGACTGATTGTTTGTATTACTATATTTATTTACTACAGGTTGTCATCGGGGGAAGAAACAAATATCTTATCAATGGATGCAATGCCAACAACACCAGAGTCCAGGACCTGTTCCGCTCAGTCCAGCTTAATGTTAACAATCCTCATTTTCTTATCATGCAGGTACAATGCAGGTTCTGTCAAAATTAAATTGTTGAATAAATCATTGATGTCAAAGACCTCTTAACTTTGGGTAATCTCATCTTGTGTGTAAGACAAGGCACAGTTTTTACTACAGCTGCCACAGGTCTAAAGGTTAAATTTTTTTAAGCTAATTTGATTCTCAGTTTGCTTTGTCTCTTAGGGCTGTGTCGAGACAGGAAATTGAGAGTCACCTAGGTTATCAAAATTACCCTGAAATCAAATTTGACCTGTAACAGGTATTCAAAAATAGATCGTTTTCACTGTCACGCAACAAAAAATTAAATTGGAAACTGTCCAGTGGAAGAAGCCAAGAAAATGAAATGTTGTAAAAGACTAATATATAAACAATTTTTCCAAGTCTCAGGTCTTTGTGGCCCATAGTTTCTGAGTTATTTGCCGAAACGTTTCACGCACCTTTGTAGAGCTTTGTATGGAGACGCCATATTGGTGCACCGTTTTGGTGCACCAATATGGCCGCCGGAAATCAACAAAAACATCTGGAGTTCATTTTTTCTATAAAAGCTCTTTCTTTCACTCGAGAACTAGCATATACGTACACATAAACATATCTTCTAATACTTGAAATGGTTATACTGCTGAAAATCAAGAGGAGAGACTTTTTTTCAACGAGATAGCATTCCTATTCTGGTGTCACGCACTGTGAAAACTCGGAAGTTCAAATTGCTGTATTTGCGAAACGAAACATGCTACGGAAACGGAAACCTGTACAAAGATTTACTTTTTGTTTATCTTCAACTTAATCTAAATAAGAATTCGTAAAACCTCGCTATTTGGACTTTACAATTTGATGACGTCACAGTGAAAACCATCTATAGGCTTAGTGAATGTGAATGTCCTGGCGTCAAGGCCATGATTGGGTTGATGGTGTTTTTGGTTCTCTTCTCTGCTCTGAGAGGTTTACGTTATATCTGTGATCCAGTTTTCCCCTTTCCCGAAAAACCAACTTGTTCAAATTCCTAATTTTGTATTAGCTTGTTACTTTTTTAACTTCAAAGGAAACTATATGTATTTTTAATTTCGCTTATTGCATTCTATAGGGAAGAATCACTAAAGTACTGAACATGAAACCTCCTGAAGTAAGTTTTGCAAAAACTTTAAGTAACACTTCAAGCAGTTGCAGTTGGTAAGAAGCATTGCTTTCGGTGGTAAATTTTACCGGTTACCGCCTGGTAAGGGCAACACTGAGGATGTTACTATCACGGTGACCTTATGATACATTATGTAGCAATTACTACTTATGTAGTTGTACAGCCACACGTAGTAACGTACCATGTCACTTCCACTGTTTTTATTTTTGGCATTAAATTAAATGTTACAATACTTTGTATATGCCCAGCAACTTGAAATCTAAATGACATCCCTGGATAAATGAATAGAAATGTTTATCCTGTTTGTAGATTTTGTCCATGATAGAAGAAGCAGCAGGAACAAGAATGTATGAGAGTAAAAAGCAATCTGCTCAGCGCACCATTGAGAAGAAAGACAGCAAGCTGCAAGAGATTGAAACTGTAAGATCCTCATTTAACTTTGTGTTTTGATGGTAATCTACTTTGCGTTGTGAAAATTTATAGTACATACAATGTAATATAAAAACACTAAAAAGCTTCCATATACAATGTACATGCAGTTACACGGTACTTATACATGTTGTGATACAGTAAGTGTAATTTTGCTTACTAATGTAAAATAATAATGAAGCTTCCAATGTCTAGTGCGGAAGTACTGAATGTGTACAACTCAAATTTTTGTTTATCTTTTTCTTACCTTTAGTTTATATTTGATTTGAAATTAACGACTTATCAAATTCTTTTTATTTATACATGTACCGGTATATGTTATGCCAATGTAACAATATTTTTCAGATTTTGGCTGAGGAAATAACGCCGACATTGACAAAGCTGAAAGAGGTACGTTAACTAAAAAACAGCTTTTATTATGTGCAGTTTCTTGCACAAAATCATAATTGCCAAACACCTAATGTTTCAGGAACTTAGTTGATAAAAGTTGGACCTTATTTAATAGTCATATCCAATCAATAGCCTGGCTGCACCATTTTCTACAAGTGTTAGAACTTGCTACTGGGTTAATGGGCCAGTTGAAAAGATGTCAAGAAAGCTTTCTCTCTGTGATACTCCAAGCCTTTGCAATACCAAGCCAAATCTGGTGCATGGTCAGCTTCAGTGTAGGTCTTTATGTTGCTCAAGACTATTTATGTGGACAAGAATCTTTTTGTGAAGACCACTCTCACAAAAATCATCAAAATACTGTGAGTGGAGTGTTTGTCAGCTGCCGGCTTAAGGTTGACAAATGCACGAGTGACATTCACTTTAACATCTGTTAATTGTTGGCCAATTGTCGTCAACTGTCAGCTAACAGATTTTTTGGGATGTGTGCATTAATGTGTACACATTTACTGAATCTCCTAGTTTGATGCAAACTGTGATTTCCCTGTTTGTAGGAAAGAGCCTCATATCTTGAATACCAGAAGGTCATGCGGGAAGTTGAACACCTCTCAAGACTGTACATAGCTCACCAGTTTGTAATGGCTGAGGTAAAACAGTGGTACTTGAACAATCTATTTTTATCTTCATCTGGAAAAGCCTTCAAATTGATCCAGGCACTGGTATGGTTACTGTTGCTTTTTTTTTCTTTTAGGATGTACAGAAAAGATCTGTAACTGAACTTGAGGAAATACGAGAAAGCATAAGGAAACTCCAGGAAAATTACAAGGAGGTGAAGTCTGTCAAGAATTTAAATATGCCATGTGCAAAGAAAGTGGTTTTCTTCTAGCGCAACATTTTTTAACATTTAATTTTTAAATTGATTCAATTGCAAATATTTTTTTGTACGGGTACTCTTGTAGATTGAAGAGAAAGTGCTAGAACTTAATGTTGTCATCACTGAACTGGAAACAAAGAGAAATGCTGTAAGTATTTTATGATAGAAAATTCTGTGAACAGTCAGAGAGAGTGCAAATTGTTTCAAAAAAATGTCAATTCCTTTCTTAGCATTTTCCTTGATCACTGTTTTATAAAACAATCAAGAAATGACTGCCTTGTCAGATAGTTAATATGGTTTTTTCCACGTTTGAGTAACCAATAGAGACATACATGTAATTTCTTTCTGATGAAAATGTTTTTCTTCCGTCAGGAATCAGGAGAAGTGATTGCAAAGTTGGAGAAAAAATTTGATGAAGTTTCTAAGGTACCCATTGCCTTGGCATGTTTTTCATTATTATTATTTTCAAGTTTTTACTTAGTTTGAATAGTGTCATGTGGCACTTAAGATTTTAAGGTCTTGGGATTAGGAGGGTGTATATGTGTTGAATTTTAGGGCATTAACCCCAGGGCTGTGCTCTAGCAGAGCCCGGTGACCCCTGGCGCCCAACTTTTGCCCTCGGGCGACTAGAAAATCTTAGATTTTTCATACAAATCATATGCTGGGCACCCTAGATTTTACAGTTTCAGAGCACTGGGCTCCCTTCAATTTTCCTTAGAGCACGGCCTTGAACCCATTCGCCCCTGTGCCGCTGTAACCGCCTGTGAACCACGTTGCTTCTACTGCTTGTGACATCGTCTTTCTAAAAGTTTTCCTGAAAACTTCCCACCAAAATGAAGCCTACTAAATGCTTAGCAAAAGAAAAAAAATGAGGCAAGAAAAGCGAAAAAAGAGGGGAGGAGAGAAAGCAAAACGTATCTCAAAATTTTGCTTTCTGTGCATGCCCAAACCTCGCTGGCTAATATTTTGTTTCTGGATCAGAAGGCCACAAAATGTACGACCTGTAAACGGCTTTGTGGTAAGTTTTGCCTCTTTATAGCACGACGGTGAGCAGAAAACCGCTTGACTAGTTTCAAAACACATTTTTTGGCAAAATTTCCAGGGGCAATGGGTCAAATGCCCTGAAATCCTCTTGTGAGAGACCTTTGAATTTTTGCATTTTGGGCGGTCACTTTTGGGACGTTCAACTATTGTCAGAAGTCACTAGCAGAGCTAGAAAAAAACTTAATTGAATTCCAGCTTTTTTGCAGAGGGGTGGGGGGGGAGGGCATGCAGCTCTGACATTTTGCTTGCCCAGGGCTGTTTTTTGCTCCTCTTTGGTAATAGTGAGCTTACGCAACTGGACAGAAGAGGAAAGAAGACATAGACGGCAAACCTTGTGTGACAAGTGTGACAATAATTTTGTTTCTTTCTTAGAATATCATTAATTCCAAAGGCTGGCTTGAAGAGATTTATCTGTTCAGCATATATACAAAAATAAACTTTCCAGTTACAATGAGAATCAACAGTTATTAGCATGGATACTTACAGTGTAACTAGTGAAGGAATTTGCCATAAGACGTAATTATTGTGGTTTCTGTCAACAGATTGATGTGAAAGCAAATTCTGATCTCAAACATGTAAAAGACTCCCTGGCAGCAGAGAAGAAAAAGAAGAAAACACTTCTAAAAAGCTTTGATGATGTAAGTTTATGGTATTGCTGTAATTGTAAATCTATTATTTTGTGTATTTTACAACTCTACTGGAAGCTAGGAGCTGCCTCCCAGCTTACCTTTACCAGAATTTCATTGCTTCTTAATAGCTTGTACTTCATAAAAAGGACCAAGCAATAACTGCATTTAATTTACTTCATTGTTTTGACCTTTCCAAGGATCAATCTCAACTGAAAAACAAAGAAAAAGAACTAAAGAAGCTAAGTGATCTTCTTGTGAAGCTGGAGCAGACAAGCCAAGCAGACAGCAATGCAGTTCAAGCAGCTCAGGATCATTTCCATGCTGTGTCGGCAGGATTATCCAGTAATGAAGGAGGAGAAGACAAGACACTTGCCGACCAAGTCATGAGTATGTTCACCTGTGCACCTGTGTTATCACTAAATAATAAACTCTAAACTAGAGCAAAATTAATTAAAGTAAGCCTAAAAATACTTTTTTTTTTGTCAAGCGACAAAAAAATAATCCCCACCCAACTTCTCTTTTATGCCTTCCACCCAGGGACTGGGTATTGACCACTCCAGAAAATACCATAACATACCATAATGCTCTTTTGTTGACACCCCAAAATTTTGCATAAGCATTGTTTTCAGTTTCTCTTGGGAGTTAAAATGGCCCCAAGAGAAAATGAAAACAATGATTATGCAAAACTTGTGGGTGACAAACAAAGAGCATTATGGTATGTTATGGTATTTTCTGGAGTGGTCAATTGAAATTTGCCATTTGTTTAAAAAGCTTAAATGTGTGTTCGCATCAGTTGAATTCCAAAAATAATGGCATAGTTTTGTTACTTGAGACTATATTTAGGTTGTTGCAACTGTTCCCTGTTATCTTTCCCTGTGGTTGGTAAGGATTGACATAGATTGAAACTTAAAGAAGTTGGTCCAACGTTTTCAAGTTTTAATTCTATGCCAGCAAAAATCATGTAACAAATTATTATTGTTGGTGTTCCTTGATGAAATTTGGTTTGATATCTTCTTCGCAACTCTACTGGAACATTTTGTGTATGGGTGAAGACATTAAGTAATGACTTCAGCACAGAATTCAGGGCGTGGTGAGTGAACTTCTATGCAGTGAGGAGGAGGCTATTCAAATTGGTGTGATATGTACCTGGGATTGGGGCTCATTGCAGGTTTGTCAGCTATAACTGCAGGGTTCTCTCTCTCTATGCTGTAGGTGGCTATCCACTGATTTCCCAGATGCTTGTGTCAGCACAAGTATGACAACTTTTCTCCCTCTTTTCTTGATCCACAGCATACAAGAATGAAATCAGCTCTGCCGAGACTGAATCCAAACAGGCTCAGATGAAGTAAGTCAGGTTTTTCCATTTTTCCAGTCCAAGACCTGATTTTCTTGTCTTCAAAATCAAATGTTAGGGTGCAAAGTATATTTTACAGCTTGTTTTGGGGCAAGCTAAAGCTAGCCTGTACTAGCCCAAGGGTCAAAGTTTTTGATTAGCACAATTGATCACAGTTCTTCTGTAATTTGAATTCCCCCAAAAAACTTCACTTGCCTGTTACACCATGGGTAAGTTAAGAACAGAATTCTTGCCCAGTAGCAAAATCTACTAGCCCCAGCCCCAGGCATGACTTTCTCTGTGTGCTGGATGTCATTGTGTTATTGATTGATTGATTGATTGATTTACAGATGTGGTAAAGTACAATGGTGTATTTGACTAATTTGAAGGTGACTGGAATAAAGTCTCAAGTGATTTCCTATAAGCTGCTAAATTCTTGCTCTAAATTGTCAGGTGTTTGTTTTTAAAATGAAGAGAGAATTAAACATTTTGCCAGAGTCACTTGATGCCTTATTTCACACATCCTTCATTTTCACTCACAAAGCTACATGTAGAGGAACTTGTACCCCTTCATTGAAGACCCTAATATAATAAGCAATGCTCCTCAACCAGTAACAGTAGGGTTCCGTGCACCTATAGGAAGCCTACATGGAATACCATGTGGAACAAAGTCTGATCATCTGTCTATACATTACACTACAATTTTGTTTTGTCAAGGGATCATCTTTACGCTTTCTGTCCACCCCCTCCTTGTAGACCCACAATGGAGGACAAAAGAACTTGGGACTGGGTGAAAAAGCCCTTCCAAGTAATTGTTACGTTGGACTCTGCTCCTAACAACAATTTTTTGTTCAGCTTTGGGTTCATCCCATCGTCCCCACTCCCGCCCAGCAATTTTGTTTGGGGTGGGAGGGGAGGGGTCGCCAGTTTTACTTATATCACTGGAAAGGTCCCATGGAAAGGTCTTATGGAATGTTCTATCTATCCAGGCAAACAGTAGGGGTGGGGGGACAAAGTGGGGGACTGGGGAGAGACAGGTGTAACGCTCACATGCTACATTACAATCACCTTGAAAATTCGATTTTGAGGGAAAAAACCACTGTTTTGCAGTCTAACCCAGCCATTTTATGTGCAGAATTTGTAGTTTTCCAAAATGTGTGACTTGAATTTTTCTTTTCTTTTTTCAGATTGAAGCATGCACAATCAGAGTTAAAGAAAAAGCAGTCAGAGCTAAAAAACACTGAGAAAAGTTACAAGAAAGACAAGGATGTTTATGATGCAATTGAAAAAAGTAAAACTAAACTTGAGGTAAGTGAAATGTCTGATGACCTCTTGCTTTGTAGACTCTTATCATCCTTTGTGGCTCTATTTTTGGAGATATCAATGTAACATGATTGAAAAACAATTAGGATTGTTATATAGCTGGAAATGTTTTGCCAACAGCGCATGCTTTCATTGGTTACTTTGAGGTCACATGATATCCATTAATGAAACTGTTTCCCGCCAAAATCTCTGAGTGGGCAACGTTGCAAAATCTATGACGTCAGAGGGTAACAGTGCGTTGTTACCCGCAAATGTTGATCTACGACCGCCGTTACAGCAAGGTTTAATAAATTTCCAGCTATATAACAAATCACTTAAAGACTGTCACTCTGGAAACAGTCAATTTTGTTTTCCCCAAGAATCTCAAAGTTTCCCTCGTCTCCGCTTCGGCAAACAAAATTAACTGTTTCCCTCGGGACCAGTCATTCACTAAGTATTTAATGTTCCACTTTAAATGGTATTTCCTCAAAAGATGTACCAAACCTATGATGCTCTTGGTTTGTCTTAGGTCAGTTTGGCTAGCAAGTAAAAACAATAATACTTTTGCTATTGCAGTAAATTAATTTTGCATTTTTGTAAAGGATGAAATGAGAAAGCTTAATTATGAAGAAGGAAAAGAGGAAATGCTCACTGCAAAAAGGTGTGTGGTGACTGTTTATTGTTTCATGTGTAACCTACGTGTCCCATAACAAGTCTCTTCTAGCGATTGCTACTAAATCTAGTGACTCCCAAAAATTGCCAGAAAAATCACTGACTTGTGGTTGCCACAGTATCAGTGATTTTATTACAGTCGACGTCCGATAATTCGAACCTTCAAGGGAAATCGAAAAACGTTCGAGTTATCGGGAGCTCGAAGAAAATAGCCGGGAGTAAGAAAAAAAACAGTTCTTACTTAGTCACGTTTAATTGTAGAAATGTCAAGTGAAAATTAAAAGATACTTCTAGATTATAAATCAGAACGTAACGTATCAAAACATGGCCTAAATGGAGCATGCGAATGTGAACATGGGTGACGTTGTTTAAGTTTTTATTTAGCTAATGCAGTTAATGCAAGGTCAGAAAAACTTATTTAGAGGTCGTAAGAAATGTACTATTTCTTGTCGTTTCAGGCGTGAGTTGGAGGCTGAAGTTTCGAATCTGAGAGAGAAAGTGGAAACTCTTGAGGCCAAGTATGTGCTATGACACTTTTTCTAAATTGCCATCCAGGAAAAAATACGTTGAATGGTACACATGTACAATGTGTTTATAAGTAAAATTCGGCTATCACATTTCATTTTTCCATTTACAAAGGGTGTCCTTTGCATCTTTATTGTCAAGTTTAGTTTGAGCTCTGAAAATGGCTATTCCTTTTTATCCTTAGGTTTCCAAACCTTCAGTTTGAATATAAGGACCCAGAGGCAAATTTTTGACCACTCCAGAAAATACCATAACATACCATAATGCTCTTTTGTTGACACCCCAAAATTTTGCATAAGCATTGTTTTCAGTTTCTCTTGGGAGTTAAAATGGCCCCAAGAGAAAATGAAAACAATGATTATGCAAAACTTGTGGGTGACAAACAAAGAGCATTATGGTATGTTATGGTATTTTCTGGAGTGGTCAATTGAAATTTGCCATTTGTTTAAAAAGCTTAAATGTGTGTTCGCATCAGTTGAATTCCAAAAATAATGGCATAGTTTTGTTACTTGAGACTATATTTAGGTTGTTGCAACTGTTCCCTGTTATCTTTCCCTGTGGTTGGTAAGGATTGACATAGATTGAAACTTAAAGAAGTTGGTCCAACGTTTTCAAGTTTTAATTCTATGCCAGCAAAAATCATGTAACAAATTATTATTGTTGGTGTTCCTTGATGAAATTTGGTTTGATATCTTCTTCGCAACTCTACTGGAACATTTTGTGTATGGGTGAAGACATTAAGTAATGACTTCAGCACAGAATTCAGGGCGTGGTGAGTGAACTTCTATGCAGTGAGGAGGAGGCTATTCAAATTGGTGTGATATGTACCTGGGATTGGGGCTCATTGCAGGTTTGTCAGCTATAACTGCAGGGTTCTCTCTCTCTATGCTGTAGGTGGCTATCCACTGATTTCCCAGATGCTTGTGTCAGCACAAGTATGACAACTTTTCTCCCTCTTTTCTTGATCCACAGCATACAAGAATGAAATCAGCTCTGCCGAGACTGAATCCAAACAGGCTCAGATGAAGTAAGTCAGGTTTTTCCATTTTTCCAGTCCAAGACCTGATTTTCTTGTCTTCAAAATCAAATGTTAGGGTGCAAAGTATATTTTACAGCTTGTTTTGGGGCAAGCTAAAGCTAGCCTGTACTAGCCCAAGGGTCAAAGTTTTTGATTAGCACAATTGATCACAGTTCTTCTGTAATTTGAATTCCCCCAAAAAACTTCACTTGCCTGTTACACCATGGGTAAGTTAAGAACAGAATTCTTGCCCAGTAGCAAAATCTACTAGCCCCAGCCCCAGGCATGACTTTCTCTGTGTGCTGGATGTCATTGTGTTATTGATTGATTGATTGATTGATTTACAGATGTGGTAAAGTACAATGGTGTATTTGACTAATTTGAAGGTGACTGGAATAAAGTCTCAAGTGATTTCCTATAAGCTGCTAAATTCTTGCTCTAAATTGTCAGGTGTTTGTTTTTAAAATGAAGAGAGAATTAAACATTTTGCCAGAGTCACTTGATGCCTTATTTCACACATCCTTCATTTTCACTCACAAAGCTACATGTAGAGGAACTTGTACCCCTTCATTGAAGACCCTAATATAATAAGCAATGCTCCTCAACCAGTAACAGTAGGGTTCCGTGCACCTATAGGAAGCCTACATGGAATACCATGTGGAACAAAGTCTGATCATCTGTCTATACATTACACTACAATTTTGTTTTGTCAAGGGATCATCTTTACGCTTTCTGTCCACCCCCTCCTTGTAGACCCACAATGGAGGACAAAAGAACTTGGGACTGGGTGAAAAAGCCCTTCCAAGTAATTGTTACGTTGGACTCTGCTCCTAACAACAATTTTTTGTTCAGCTTTGGGTTCATCCCATCGTCCCCACTCCCGCCCAGCAATTTTGTTTGGGGTGGGAGGGGAGGGGTCGCCAGTTTTACTTATATCACTGGAAAGGTCCCATGGAAAGGTCTTATGGAATGTTCTATCTATCCAGGCAAACAGTAGGGGTGGGGGGACAAAGTGGGGGACTGGGGAGAGACAGGTGTAACGCTCACATGCTACATTACAATCACCTTGAAAATTCGATTTTGAGGGAAAAAACCACTGTTTTGCAGTCTAACCCAGCCATTTTATGTGCAGAATTTGTAGTTTTCCAAAATGTGTGACTTGAATTTTTCTTTTCTTTTTTCAGATTGAAGCATGCACAATCAGAGTTAAAGAAAAAGCAGTCAGAGCTAAAAAACACTGAGAAAAGTTACAAGAAAGACAAGGATGTTTATGATGCAATTGAAAAAAGTAAAACTAAACTTGAGGTAAGTGAAATGTCTGATGACCTCTTGCTTTGTAGACTCTTATCATCCTTTGTGGCTCTATTTTTGGAGATATCAATGTAACATGATTGAAAAACAATTAGGATTGTTATATAGCTGGAAATGTTTTGCCAACAGCGCATGCTTTCATTGGTTACTTTGAGGTCACATGATATCCATTAATGAAACTGTTTCCCGCCAAAATCTCTGAGTGGGCAACGTTGCAAAATCTATGACGTCAGAGGGTAACAGTGCGTTGTTACCCGCAAATGTTGATCTACGACCGCCGTTACAGCAAGGTTTAATAAATTTCCAGCTATATAACAAATCACTTAAAGACTGTCACTCTGGAAACAGTCAATTTTGTTTTCCCCAAGAATCTCAAAGTTTCCCTCGTCTCCGCTTCGGCAAACAAAATTAACTGTTTCCCTCGGGACCAGTCATTCACTAAGTATTTAATGTTCCACTTTAAATGGTATTTCCTCAAAAGATGTACCAAACCTATGATGCTCTTGGTTTGTCTTAGGTCAGTTTGGCTAGCAAGTAAAAACAATAATACTTTTGCTATTGCAGTAAATTAATTTTGCATTTTTGTAAAGGATGAAATGAGAAAGCTTAATTATGAAGAAGGAAAAGAGGAAATGCTCACTGCAAAAAGGTGTGTGGTGACTGTTTATTGTTTCATGTGTAACCTACGTGTCCCATAACAAGTCTCTTCTAGCGATTGCTACTAAATCTAGTGACTCCCAAAAATTGCCAGAAAAATCACTGACTTGTGGTTGCCACAGTATCAGTGATTTTATTACAGTCGACGTCCGATAATTCGAACCTTCAAGGGAAATCGAAAAACGTTCGAGTTATCGGGAGCTCGAAGAAAATAGCCGGGAGTAAGAAAAAAAACAGTTCTTACTTAGTCACGTTTAATTGTAGAAATGTCAAGTGAAAATTAAAAGATACTTCTAGATTATAAATCAGAACGTAACGTATCAAAACATGGCCTAAATGGAGCATGCGAATGTGAACATGGGTGACGTTGTTTAAGTTTTTATTTAGCTAATGCAGTTAATGCAAGGTCAGAAAAACTTATTTAGAGGTCGTAAGAAATGTACTATTTCTTGTCGTTTCAGGCGTGAGTTGGAGGCTGAAGTTTCGAATCTGAGAGAGAAAGTGGAAACTCTTGAGGCCAAGTATGTGCTATGACACTTTTTCTAAATTGCCATCCAGGAAAAAATACGTTGAATGGTACACATGTACAATGTGTTTATAAGTAAAATTCGGCTATCACATTTCATTTTTCCATTTACAAAGGGTGTCCTTTGCATCTTTATTGTCAAGTTTAGTTTGAGCTCTGAAAATGGCTATTCCTTTTTATCCTTAGGTTTCCAAACCTTCAGTTTGAATATAAGGACCCAGAGGCAAATTTCAATCGCAGTAAGGTCAGTCAAAAATGCTGTTTACTAGCGTAAGGTACTGGTGCTTTCTCAGTTCATGGAGCGGTACAGTTAAATTGTAGGAGGTGGTTTGCTGTAATAGACTGATTCGAAAGCCAAAGTAAAGAAGACTTTGTTTTATTTATTTAATTAAAAAAAGCTTTTCATCAACGGTAAACTATCAAACTAGTGGAGACCACCGTTTTTAATTCCCGAAGTAGCTGCGAGAGCTTTGACTGTATTACAAACTCGTGTATACATATACTGGCTTGCTTATGCAGTCGACTCCCGATAACTCGAATCAAAATCGATTTCCCTTGGATTTTCTTCATTCAATACTGTTTTTTACCCTCGATAACTCGAACCTCCCGCTAACTCGAAGTAATTTTTATTTTCCTTCAGATCAGTTCTATACAATTTTACTCTCGAAAATTCGAATCATGTTTTAAGCGCGTGAAACTTCGAAAAGAACGCAGTGAACTGCAGTCCAAAACACTGAATTTCTCTCAAAACGATAGTGTTTTCTTTTTCTTTTAGATTCTTTACTTTTTTGTCGGAGTCCAATTCAAATACAATGTTTAGCGCTGTACTGACTAATCAAAGCTTCGTTGCTCGACTTCTTTTTCAAAATATCAATATATCTCTTGCTGCCCTTGAAGAGAAGTGTACATGATACGTGTACTTGCATTCCTCCCCTATCTCATTCAGTCCTTAGTTTTGGTTATTTGCTTCGAACTCCCTATAACTCAAACTGTTTTGAAGGTTCGAGTTATCGGGAGTCGCCTGTAAAAAGGTCTGTTAGACCTTTTTACCGATACGGCGGCCATATTGAATTAATTCGATTTAAGGAGTATTATAGGATGCTCAGGGGGCATGAGCACATTTCGTTTGTATTTTTGAGCGCTTTTCGGGACATTTTTTGTTAAAGTTTTCTTAGAACAAGATTGTAATGAGAGAGAAGATCCTTGTGCCGTGTTTGGATGTAATAGTGATCGCCTTTTTCTAGTTTAGTATTAGAAATATTGTCTTTCACTGTATATTTCTCGGGAAAAAGGCGATCATTATCACATCCAAACAAGGCACAGGGATCTTTTTTCCCATAACAATCTTATTCTAACAAAACTTTAATAACAAATGTTCCGAAAAGCGCTCCAAAATACAAACGAAATGTGCTCATGCCCCCTGGGCATCCTATAATACTCCTTAAATCGAATTAATTCAATATGGCCGCCGTATCGGTAAAAAGGTTTATTCAAAGGGCTTGAAACAGTGTGTACATGTATGTCCATTGCACAGGTCAAAGGTTTAGTGGCCCAGCTTATTCAAGTCAAAGATGTGTCAACTGCTACTGGACTGGAGGTTACTGCTGGTCCAAAGGTAAATACATTGGTATTAAGAATGGGATATCATTAAACAATCAATCCCGGCTAGCATGACAGATTTATCTAACTGCGCACTGAGTGTGACATTATTGACTTCATGATTCATGAATATGTTTCTTACAGTTTCTGGCCCTATAAAGGCTATTTTAGCAAGTTTTAATGTTTTGGTCTCTCACCTACTAAGAAGAAGACTAGGGAAAACTCGGCTGTGCCAGAGCAAAAAGCCCAAAAATTGTCTTCATTCTAATCTCCTTCAATCGCTCCAAAACTTCGCTTGAGCTTAGAACAAAGATTTCCCTTCCTTGAAAATGTCAATTTAGTTCCAAATATCAAGTCATGACCTCAAGACGACGAGAAATGTGGCAAAAAAATTTGACCTTAGCCCTTCCTTGGATTGGTTCTTCATCGTACTGTAGCTACCGATGGCCGTTGCTCTTGGCTTAGTGGCCACGCGGCACGTTCAAAATCCCCTCCCCGATCACGCAATGCTTAGTTTTGAGAAAATCGTGTTGTTGTAGTTGTCCTCTTCTTAGGCTGCGTGTAAACGGACGCAACAACTCCCAACATTGTTGCGCCAACAATGTTGGGAGTTGTTGCGTGCTTGTTGGCTGTGGTGTGCAAACGGATGCAACAACTCTCAACAATGTTGGCACCTGCAGTGCATTGTGGGAAGGATACAACCCATAAGTCTTTGTAATCCATGCGTAATGAGCGTGCGTGGCCCCAACAATGTTGGAAGAGCTGTGCAAACGGATCCAACATTGTTGCGCTACGCTTCGGCGATCACGGAACAAAAGAAATGTTGGAGTTGTTGGCTGAAAAGCTTGACCGGTTTCAAACTTTGCGCAACAACATGCAACAGGGTGTGCAAACGGACGCAACATGTAACATCCAACAATGTTGGGAGTTGTTGGCCAACAATGTTGCGTCCGTTTGCACGGGGCTTTAGAATCTAAAGGTCTCTAATGTTATTTTCAGCTCTATAACGTGGTGGTTGACACAGAGGTAACTGGGAAAAAGTTGATAAGTAATGGCAAGCTCAAACGCCGTTATACGTTCATTCCATTGAATAAAATAGCCTCCAGAACTCTTTCTGGCGATGTTGTTAAAAGAGCTGAAGGTCTGGTGAGTTGGCCTTTGTTTGTTACATAGTTATGCAAAGCTGTAAATAATTTTTGCTTCTTGAATGGACATATGTCATCCTTTTGATCGGACCTAGTCAATGAACGATGTATGCATGCATGCAGTAGGCGTCTTCAACAATAATTGAGCATTGTNAACCCCCCCCCCCCCCCCCCCAAACTCGTAACGCAAAAACCCTCTGATAAATCGCCCCTCCAAATACACGCCCCTGGGGGCTTGTACTCGGAAATTGCCCTCAAATTCAAAATAGAACAAAGCAAAAACTGTGCAGTAACACATAGAACTATTACATGTGCCCAATGATTAGAGTCAAAAAGTGTCACAGTATATTGCTGTTTGCATAGTTCACTCTTCAGTGTTGGCTTGGATTTTCTCGGTCCATACAGACTTGTAATAGTACTTGCATGGCTGAGTTTTAGAAAGATCTACGTCCTCAAGGCGAGTTTCAGTAAAAATTGCTGCAAATTACTAACATAAATTTTCTTCCTACTATAAGCTAGCCCAATGGATTTTGAGACGCATATTTCCCTCCCAGTATAAGCATAGCCGATTTTGAAAGGCAAATTTCCCTCCGTATATAAGCCCCTCAAAAAGGACCTTTGAAATATATAAGCCCCGGAGCTTATTTTCGGAATTTTACGGTATTTTATGCAGAAATATCATTTCGTTGGTAAGAAAATTCTTATGCCAATGCTCTAAGGCCCCGACCACACGTATCTGGTTTTGTTTGAACTTGGAGATTTTTTGTCCGTTTTCCAAAAAATCCGCGTCCACCGATTGCGTTTTTGAATTGGTTTTGTCCGTCAACATGCAACTGTAAACGGTACCATCTTTGACGGGAGTATGCGCATTTACTGGTATCCAACTCCGGGACGTAATCGTTTTCAACAACTTTTCTTTTATCCTTCCACACGAGAACATTAAGACGGTGAAACATCCTCGAACTGGAGAGCGTTTTTGTTAAGATGCGTTTCCGGTAACCGTTTTCACCGGATACGTGTGGACAGTAGGCCAAACCGAAGAAAAAAATCTCCGTTTTCAAACAAAGACAGCAAACCGTGTATTTGTTTGTTTGCTTGTTATTTCGCTTTCATTTTTTGTTTATAATTGCCGTGACTAATATCTGAGAGCCTGGAACGTCCTCTTTGCTTCAGCAACCTCCTTTTACTCCCTGAATTAATTTTCCAATAATTTAACTTTTTGTTTAAAGCTTTTAACATTCATTCTCAATGCAGTAAAACTTGTTTCTTGCTAGGTTGGTAAAGATAATGTCTACCTCGCTCTTTCCCTTGTTGGCTATGATGAGGAAATCAAGGCTGCTATGGCTTATGTCTTTGGTACCACGTTTGTGTGTGACAACATGGACAACGCCAAAAAGGTTGGAATCAAAAGCGTTTTTAATATTCTAACTTTGTACAATGAAGGTCAAAAGTATTACAACGCTTAACAACCTCGTCCCCGAGCAATGTTTTGTAATTTGGTTACCCCGTATACTTCGTCGTCATCATCATCATCATCCTTCGACCACTGGAAAGGACGGGGCATTTATAGAGATCTCCTCCCAAACACCACGATTCGCCATCATACATCTTTTTGAAAATCTTTTTGTTTTCATATCTTTGTTTCCTAATATAGTTCGGTAAGACGTTCCAAATCTTTGGAGCAGCTGCAGTAAATTATCTGTCTCCAAGAATACGTTTGAACTTAGCTAAAGGGTCTTTCAAAAAAAAAAACTCCCACTTTACACCGAAGGTTGTAGTTAGAACATCGTCTAATATTTATCAGGTCGCTCAAATACGTTGGCGCCAGATTTTGAGTAGTCTAAAAGATTCATGGGGCCTTCCTAAGTGACCTAGGGACAACTTGTCGGAAGACGGCATTTTCGTTTACGAACGTTCCCAACATGAGAGGGAGATATCCTGGGTGATTTCTGACCAATCAAAAACGGGTAATGCAAATGCTTCTGAAACTGTTCGGTAAGTGTAGCTGCTTGTTGTAAACTTTCGCCTCCGAAAATGCCGTCGCCCCAACTAGCTGGCCATGCGCCACCGGGGATGCGTGCATGTATGTCCTTGAAAGTAAGTGGGTGACTGCTTGACATAGTTCAGTTACAGTAATTAAGGGAAAGGATTTAATTTTCGGGTCTTTGACAGGGCTCGAAAAAAGCTTGAATTCTATCTTATCCTTTGGACAAGAAACTATTACATTTTGCTTGCCAAGGGCCGGCCATTGCTTGCTTGTCTTTAGTAACGAATGATTTAGTTACCATATGACGTGCCTGGATCCTTGTCCTTCGGACAAGCGAGGTTAACCCCTTAGGTCCCAAGAGTGACCAACATCAGTTTTCTCTTAATAACATCAGCAGATCATCAAGAGTAAAGGTTATGAGAATTACTAAATTGATTACCAAAGGGAGAATGCTTTGATCTTAAACCAGATTCTCTCAACTATTCTTAAAATAAATGCATGGAGATCATTCTGGAGAATTTGTATGTGGATCTTGGGGCTTAAAGAATTAAAAGGTTACTTGGACGTTTTTCGTACCCTGCTTTGACGAGTACACTAACCCGTAATTTCTGTTTAACTGTATTTTGTTGTTGTTGTTACACAGGTTACTTATGACCCTAAAGTTCAGGCCAGGACAGTGACGCTGGGTGGAGACCTGTTTGATCCCCAGGGGACCGCTACAGGGGGTAAGTGAGAGTGCCAGGTAATTGTCACAAAGAACGATGACTTGGTTCATTTATTACGAATCCTTTGACACTGCTAATACTAACCGTCGGCAGAACTGCTCTTTAAAAATGGCAAGATTAGCAAACTTCTCAGCGATCAAACTACCCGAAACATACGCCGCACGAAAGATGTTGAGAGCTACTCCGCATACCTAACTAGACCAACCACTGATCACCAGCACTGTTGGCGCACTTTGATCTGATTTCGAATCAAATGCATTTATATTGAAAGTGCATTTGAGTAAAAATGTATTTGAATTTGTTTGCTAAAATACAAGTAAACCAATAAGTTCTCGAGGCATGCCGTACCCCACTGATAATTTACCTGTATGCATAAATAGCATAACATTTCCTAGGGAAATGCCCCAAAGTTAGGAAAGTAGCGCATGATTTTTCACCCGGCTTCACAGTGGTCATACGAGAAAAATTTGCAAAGCTAATTAAAGACGTACTTCAAAGCTAAGGTTGCTAATTTCACTGTTTAAAGTTTATGATATTACCAAGACGCGGTTAAGTTATTTTTGAACTTTTAGAAAGCTACTGAAAAAGGTTTTAAGTGTTTGAAAACTGAAATTGGTATTATCGTCCTTATCGTTGAACCAACTGATAAGATATTTCATCTGAAAGGAATATTTCGGTCTTTCTTGGTATAAATTAACCTGTAGACTTGTGTTTTTCTGTTCCAGGAGCTCGATCAACGCATACATCAATTTTGGTCAAGTTACAAGAATTGAATGAAGCCCAATCTTTGCTTCAGTCAAAGAACGCTGAATTAAAACAAGTTATCAAAGAACTGGACTCTTGCAAGAAAGTGGCAGACAAGTAAGACGGAAGAATTCAAAATACTTTTAGCTGTGTGGTCTTTTTAATTTAAAATCCTAACCCACAAAATCGTCTGCTGCAAGAGGGATCTTCCCCCAGGTGCCCTTTCTATTTACCTGAAGATTTGAAAACAAAATATGACAGGGCTAAATCATACGCTGAAAGAACCAGCACGAAGGAAAACTAAACGCGCCAATGAATCACATGATCGATGTAGCCAGCTACTGGACACGCGCATGCCAAAGACCGCTGACCTTAGGCACTTAAGGCGCTCTTAGTTGTTAACTCCTTTACATTGCATTCAAATGCATCATGCCAAAGCTGGCTTTATCTTGATAACATCTTCATGGATGCCCCGCACCCCCCGCCCCCCGCTGAGCTTCACGAGGTTCTGCGATACACATATTTCTAGTTTAAAATGTTTGAAATCGCCCATATGTTTCCTGTCCCAGATTTCGGCAAATAAAACAACAGTATGATCTGAAAGTACATGAAGCAGAACTTGTGCAGGCTCGATTGAAACAGAGTACTCATCACCATCAGCTGGAAGAGATAGAGACAATGCAGAAGACAGTCGGCAAGTCATCTGATATCTAAGGGCGTGTTTACATGGAGGTGGGGGACCCCAGATAGGTGAGGTAACATGTGGCGGGTCACCCCACCTATCATGTAAACGTGATCAAATTAAAATGAGAGATTATATGGACAGGCGGGTTATCCTACCTAAGCGGGTTAGCTCACCTACCTGGGGTCCCCCACCTCCATGTAAACAGGCCCTTAATCACGTTAATTGGACAATTGCTCCTCTACAGTTATTTAACAATTATTGGATGTCTCTGAGTATGATGTGAAAAATTTTTCAGATCGAGGAGAATGTTATCGGCCTCGGTGGATAACATGCCCCGGGATCTGCATTATTCTTCAAATCATACGATAGCGAAATTAAAAACAAATTGCTTTACATTGTATTATTTATTCAAAATATTTCTAAATTCTTAACATCGTAGACTTTCTTCAAAACTTTGGCCCACTTGAATTTTCTCGGCACGTTTTCGGAAAATGAACAGATGTCTTGTCTTGCAGATACCCCTCAAAAAGCAGATAACGTCCATCAAGCAATACGTATTCTTGCTTGCATTTCTTCCATTCAGTTTTAGTAAAAACTTCAGCTATTTCGTCTTCCAAAGCGAAAGCAGTGAACACCATTCTTGTTAGTTAACTATTGCCCAAGTAGCCTCGTTTCCAGGTCAACTTAATTACCATCGAATCTTCCAAATATGGTAAGCGCCAGTTGGTTATCAGGAATTAGCTGGGGGATTGGAACCAATTAAGAAACGGTGAAATGTTCTGAATGAATAACAGCTATTACTTGCGTGTTTTGTTGTGATCTTCACTAAAAATTGCTGTGTGGAAGGTGGAGCTTGGCGGATTTTTTTTTCCAAACAAAATCATTGCAACGCTTGTCAAACATGGTTTGCCGTATTCTTTCCTGTGCCATGTCCGATTGCGTAAGGTGTTGTGGTGAAGTGTTGCTACTTTTTTTGATTGGCTGAAAAAACTCGTGCCACCTTGTCGGCCAATCAAATGTTAAGGTAAAACCCATTAGTTTCTTGCGCTCATGCAACTTCCCGCCCTTTTCCCCCGGGCTTTGTGGCTAGCTAGTAAGGACGTTCAGCCCAACATACTACTCGTTGACTTCCTGGATCAATAATGGTTTTGTATGTTTGGTAGTTCTCAGTAAATTTTAGTAATTTGGGACTTCAACCTCGCTACGAAGTGGAGGGGTAATCCACAGTACAATCAGAATCTGAATCTTTCCTGTTTTCTTTGCAGAGGAACAACAGGAGCTTATGACGAAAGCGAAGGAAACAATTGCATCTGCGACTGAGAAATGCAAAGATGTCGAAAATAAAATGAAGGTTGGTTTATCAGCAGGGGTCGTACGCATCTTGAAAATCCTTGAATTTTTAGAGTCCTTGAAATTCTCTTTTATTCATTTTGGTCCTTGAAAGTCCTTTGAAAAAACAATGACATTGAGGAAATGAAAGTCAGGTATGGACAGCCTGTGATCCAAAAGGCTGAGGTCTAGAATGGTTTACCAGTACTGCCATTGCATCATTGTTTCATACATGCACATTGTAGGCGATACTAATTGTGCTTGACGAAATATTTTCGTATTTTATTTGGAACCTACAATCGGCGACAAAATTGTTGCCGATGTTTCTTTTTACAGGAAGCAAAAGCTCATCGCGAGAAGGAACTGAAAAAGGCAGAGGAAGATTTAAATAAAGCAAAGAAAAAAGCGGAGGAATCAACCAAAAGCATGAAAGGGAAACAGCAGGTAGTTGAAAGAGATTAACTATGAATAGCATTCTCCTATTAATTCCTCTTACTGTTTGCGCACATGAGTGATTAGGAAGTGAGGAGGTTTTAAGACGCAGCCTACTGTCAAATGTTTACGGTGTAAAAATTGTCCCCTTGGCTTCTGTTTGGTATAACGAGTGAAGGCTTGCTCGTCGCGGATTTTCATCATTTTTGCAAAGGTGCGTGGCTTTTGTTTGGTTTAGCGTGAGCGAAAAGCCGTAATTCTCTCTAACATCGCTCGCCGTCTACGGACAGGTAGACAAGGCTATATCAAGGCTACCTTAAGAGGAACTAGTGCTAGTAACGTTTGTCGTGAATGAAGCAAATTCCTGGAAAGCCCTTAAAAAAGTCCTTGAATTTATGGCCTGAAAAAGTGTACGAACCCTGAAATTGTGAACTCTCAAACAACCTGTTTGCTCTTTGTCCCACGTATAGGAAGTAGAAGAAATGAAACTATTAATGGAGGAGCTGAACAACGAGGTTTCCAACGTTGAGCAGCAGGTAAGCTTAAGTTTAAATGCAAACGATACGATACAGATCGCGATACAAGGACCACTATACAATTCACCGTCTAACCGAGCCGCTCTGGGCGAGCCAACGTTTCATACATTTCCTTACAACACGTGGCGAGTCGTTTACGTTAGAAACAGAACTTTGGCTCGGCTAGAAGAGTGACCCGCCTATCCGGGTCACCCTCCTAGCCACGCCAACTTTCTCCGTATAAACACTTTGGCTCGCCTGGCCGGGTCAACTCGGTCAAGGCGAGACATCAAAGCACGAGCGAGCGCAGTTTAGACAATCAGAGCGTGCGCAAGTGCTGTTTACTTGGGCAAAGGGGTCAGTTTTTTTCCACATAAAATCGCTCGCTGAAGTTAACTCGACGGGGAGAGTGACCTTTCTACTTGGGACATCTTTCTTCACACATACGAGGCCCTAGTCGCGTGGTACTAATTTACGTTTACTGTTTATCGTGAAGGTCATTCTAAATACCTCTGATGAAAATATTTTTTATTGCAGATGAAAGTTATCGACGAAGCGCTGGAAAAAGCAGAAGAACAAGTCACAAGATATACCGAGGCTGCCAAGGAAACAAAGGTATTGCTGTTTGGTTTGTATTTTAAAAGTACGTTTACAGTGCTATGAGTTCGCAGTGTGCCTTTGAGGCGATTTTTTACGACCCAGATAATTGAAGATTACGTGGCTTTTAACTGGTGTTCAAAACTGAGGCAAACGTGTGTAGCTTAACAGTGGCAAACACGCGCAGCTTTTGCTTGGCTTTAGGGAACCGACGTTAACGCGTGCTGCTTTAGTTGATGTAAACGTAGGCGAACACATGCGGCTTTTGGCTGCTTCAACGAACGGAAGCAAAGTGAAACACGCGGGGCTTTTCTTAAATGTGTGAACTTGCGTTGTGGACCGTTGGTCTGACGCAGACAGCCAGCTTACATGTAAACGCTTCCCTCGCTGTCTTGCAGAAAGCAGTTCAAGAGGCAGCTGACGAATTGAATAAACAAAAGGAAGCTCTTCAGGCCTGTAATGAGGTATGATATTCACTTGCGTTTATCTGTTTAAGGAGCTACCGACGGGGGGGGGGGGGGGGGGAATTTTTGGGTGGGGATGTGCCGCGGGGACCCCAGGACCCTGGAACCCTTAGCCTATGCTAGAGCTAGTTTAAATGAATTAATTTTGTTACCCTATACTAGACTAAACTCCCCAAATCCCCCCTCAGAAACCCTCAATCACGGTCGTTTTGCCTTGTATAAATAGGCGATCAGCGAGAAGGTCGCAGAGCAGCGAAATTTGCAGAAGCAAGGTCAAGATATTCAACTGCAACTGAAAGAGATGGATCATAAGGTGAACAAGTTTCATAAAGACAGCAAAGACGCAGCCACCAAGGTATGCTATTCTCTTGACCGCATTTCAAGTTGAAGGACTTTGAAGTGTGGCTTTAACTGGCGTAAATGAGACAAAAACAGAGTCGCCATGATCAAGAAAAAAGTGAAACGTGTTCGAGACCAGGAAAAAGTCAGTGTATGTTGCAAAAGAGACTCAGAAATTGTCAGAAAAACTCAAACAGTCGAACCTCCACTAACGTCCACCTCTCCACAATGGGCACTTTTTTAATAATAATAATAATAATAATAATAATAATAATAATAATAATAATAATAATAATATTTATAGAGGGAGCCCAACTCGCCAAGGCGGTTTTCAGTGGGCTCTCATGCATTGACTCCTGTTTCAACCTCTCTGCAACGAGCCACATTCTTCTGTCCCCAAGGTGGCTATTGTTGAGAGGTTCAACTGAAATTGTTGCCAAAAACTGTGAAAAGTGTTGCCATATGCTTTCGTGAATATTATAAATATGAACATTTTGTTTCGGGAAAATACTGTGCAGTCGGTCCATTTTGAAACTCCAATTTCCGTAAAGAGAAATCAGAAATCACTCCAAAAGAAACATAAAATTCCAAGTGTAAGTGAGCGAAAATGGAGAGAAGAATACTGATGGCCTTTGGCTGAAGAAAATTGGAAATGCAAGGTCAGTGATAATTATTTAGAGGTCATTTCAAAGTCAGGGAGTCATTCATTTATTTATTATTATTTTTATTTTTTTAATGAGTGGCAACCTGCCTAAAATTATCCTTTATCCTCAGGTTGAGCAGATGTTGGAAAAGTACGAATGGATCTCGAATGAAAGGCAGTTCTTTGGTCAACCGAACACGGCGTACGATTTTGCTGCTAACGACATGAAAGAGGTGTCGAGACGACTGAGCAAGCTACAGGAAACTAAGGAGAAATTAGGGAAAAATGTCAACATGAGGGCAATGAACATGCTTGGCAAAGCTGAGGAAAAGGTAAGGCAGTCAAAAAAGCGGTGGATAGCCTGCGTAGCTGGCGGTATTGTGTAGTAGTAAAGTGAAATTTGGCGGCGAAGCCGTAAGCCGGGAAAAAAACAAATACCGCCTGCCAGAGAACCATGATTTTTCGAATGCCGCCCATGTTTATCACCTCAACTTAGCGGACCTCTTGGGCAATAGATGTTCATTTCAAAGAGTTCAAAATGTCACGGTTTGAAATTTGTGATTGGTGGATTTCGATCCGTTTTTATTTTAAGGTTCCTTGCTTGTGAGCGTCGTCTTTCGGGTAATTATCGACTTGTTTGCTGCGGCTTTTGCGATCTGTCTTAACACGAAATGTTGTCCTCGGCGTCACTTGTAACAATAAAGCAAAGTCTGCCTCCTTCCCTCGACAAAAAATACCATCGCGATTTCCTTCGCTATTGAGAAGTCAAGAGTTATCCTCAGTTTTTGCTTTTGCCGAACCCTGTGGGCAAAATTGCCATAACATCACGTCCAGCCCGCAGCTCCTTCACAACCATTTCCTGCTTCCTCTTAAGAATAATTTTGTGCTTCTCTCTGCTCACGTTAAGACGTTCTAGAGCTTTATCGATACTTAATTCAGCCGAGGCTACCATTTTTTTCCCTAACAGTTTGTCATCTGCTCCCTTGGGAAATATGCGAAGGATCATCTGACATGACTGACATACGTATGGCCCTCGACCAATCCGTTTTCTCCGCACACTGGTGTGGGCATTGTTCAAAATACGGGGGTTTTCTGGCAGGCAGTATTTCAAAGACCTCGTCCCCACTCCCTTTTTTTGAATCACGGCTCCGCCGCCAAAACTTTAATCAAACGACGTTTGGGACATCTTGTCAATCTTGTTTCCCCTCGTCGAACTGCAATTTTGTGTGCGGGCATCCGTTTATTGAGAAACCGATGTTCATAACAGAGCCCGCTGTACTAAGTGCACGGATATTAGACCTGGGTTCGAAGCTGTGTCCAAGCAACATGCTGCACATGCCCAACAAAGATCTTACTCGATTCATACAGACTCTTTCTCGAGCACGCCAAAATCGAGTACACGAAAGAAAGGCTCTGCTGTCACACTAGGATGTCAAGCTAAGCTTTGTTAGTATCAGATGGGCTGTGAAGGCCCATTAAAACCGTTAGCAACTCAGCACGTTTACATGTTTTTATTTGAGACCAGTAAAATACTGTTTGATATTTGTTTGTTTGTTTGTTTGTTTTCGGAAGGACCATGTCTTTTAGGGCTCTTCTGACGCAAATGGTATTAGATTGGGATCAAATTAGGTTTTTGGGAAACTGCCCACCTCTGACCCCTCCCCTAAGCCAACCAACATTTTGCCCTCAACAAGAAGTAAGTGTTAATGTTAGCTTAGGGATGGGGTAGGTGGGCAGTTTCCCAGACACCTAAATTGATCTCTGTAGTACAACGATTTAATGAAAAAGAAGCGAATCGTCCTAAATGACAAAGAAAAGATCGCTTCTGTTATCAGAGAACTTGATGAGAAGAAAAATGAAGCGCTGAGAAACGCTTGGAAGAAAGTTAACAAGGTCAGACTATTCATCATTTATCCAGTGTGAACATAACACCATTTTCTACCGCTACCTTTCCCTGGCATTAGTTCTCGTGCACTTGGTGTGAACATAGCCTCAACACTTGTGATATAATTTGACCGTGTTTTCATTGTATCTGTAGGATTTTGGCTCAATATTCTCTACTCTTCTGCCTGGAACCACGGCCAAGCTGGCTCCACCTGAAGGGCAAACAGAACTGGACGGCCTAGAGGTGAAAGTCGCCTTCGGCAACGTGTGGAAGGAGAGTCTTAGTGAACTGAGTGGCGGTCAAAGGTAATGAGCCTTATTTCTCTGAGGGCAAACCTCGCTAATAAGTGTTTTAATGATAAAAAATAAAATGAAAAAAATAGATACAGTCCAACCTCCACTTACCGCCAACTCTCCACAACGGCCTTTTTTTCGGGGGGGGGAGGGCAGTCCATGCATTGAGTCTTGTTTAGACCTCTCTACTACGGCCACTTCCTTTTGTCACCAAGGAGGCCGTTGTGAAGAGGTTCAACTGCAAAATAGATAAAGAATGAGATTTTTTCTTTAAAAAAAAGTATGCGTACTTAATTGGTTACTTTTAAGCCCCTTCAGTTATAGGCCGATCTTCCCGTTAACAAAACAATATATCAGATGATAAGCCCTCCCCCCCCGGATTTAAGCCCCTTTCTAGCTTGTATTACTATGAATTCGTTTTATTACGGGCCACGCACGTGTATTACACGTGGTCTCCTTGGAGGCAGCAAGTCTTATGTGTTGTATCCTTCCCATGACACACTGTAGGTCACAACATTGTTGGGAGTTGTTGCATCAGTTGCACACCACTGCCAACTCAGACGCAACATTATTGGCCCAATATTTGCACGTAGCTTAATACTCCAGATGTTGTAAAGACTCAATTAACTACCGGTTTCTTTCAGGTCACTGGTAGCGCTCTCTCTCATTCTCTCCATGCTTCTCTTTAAACCCGCTCCATTGTACATCCTCGATGAAGTAGATGCTGCCCTGGACCTCTCCCACACACAGAACATCGGTCAGATGCTCAGAGCACACTTCAAGCATTCGCAGTTCATCGTGGTTTCCCTCAAAGACGGAATGTTCAACAACGCTAACGTTCTTTTCAAAACAAAGTTCGTCGATGGCGTGTCGACTGTCACCCGATATGCTCAGAACCAGCCTTCCCGGGATGGTGATGGCCCAGGGCCACTGGGACGAGCAGGGAAAAGCACTGCGAAAAAGAAAGATGATCGAGGCAAAAGACCGAGGATTGAGGCTCCACCCCAGCCCCTCACGCCAACACAAGGCTGAAGCATGGGGATAGAAAATGGGTAGCCTGTGCTCTACTGCAATTGTGAATAGCTTCTTTTCATCACGGCTCTGAACAACCACGTATTGTACATTGTAACACTTGTCTTATTGAAGGCACATGTTCACTTGAACTACTTCGCGCGCTTGTATTTTTGTTTGTTTGCTTTTTTCACTTCAGTAAAGAAAATATATCGCATGAAGCCTTGAGACACGAAAAATAACCAGACAATAACCGTCGAAAAAAGTGAGAAGGAACTGGGTTCTGCTTGCTAATGATCTACTAGCTGTAGATTTTCCGTCTGTGTTCTTCAACACGCCGCACAAACCGTCAGCCGTAAAAGCGACTCGTTTATACCCTTTCATAGCTGCTTATGGCACTTGAGGGAGAAAGCCTTTGTTTCGGTTTGTATGCTTACAAACCCATTGAAATTACTGAAAGGCTAATTGATTTTGAAAGGCGTTATTTTGATTTTTGAGACTGTGTAAATCAGCAAAACGCTTGTGCCATTTGATTTGATTTTCACAGAGGCATTTTCATACTCCCTAGGTGGCTGAAACTATGGTTTAGTCGGGTATTCTCTGAGTAAATTGATATTAACTTGCCTTTTATCTGAATACGTTGGGCTGAGTTTTTGTGTAGTAAGAAGTGTATAGTTATCTACTGTATGAATATGACTAAGTATTTTTCATCATTCGTTTTCCGTTCCTCATTTAGTCGAGGGCTTGCTACTTGTGTATAATGGGAAGCACTTTTGTTGTTTAAACTATGACAACTGTCTTTGAGTAAACAAAGGGTTGCGACAGAAAGTAATTCTCTGTTGTAAAGTACAAAACAAACTAGAAACTACAACAAAGAACATTTCCAGTTTCCTTTATTGTTGCTGTGGTAACGTGAATGATTGACACTCTTTTTGTGTAAATAGCATTCTTTGCATCTTACATTTTAATACATTCAAGCTCTTTACAACTACCATTAGGATACGATAAGGGCGGATGTATTGAAGTGTAATAAATAACACTGTACATTTTACAATTTATACTCTTACGTAGGGATGCTAAATCTTGTATCCTCGCCTAAACATAAATTTACCGCACTAAAAATCGAGCAGCTTCTTCATAGATGTTCTTAAAATCTGCACCTTTGTTCAGAGTCTAAGAGCTAAATGCAGCTTTCCTTTGTTTAGAGCAAGTTATTATTTGTAATAAATAATTATTAGAACGAGTGGCCTGCAATTCCAATCAGTGAACAAAATAATGGCCTGCTGGTTCTAAAACAGTAGAAAGATTCCTCAAAATAGGATACTTCCTTCGATCCTTGGCCATCTTTGAATTAATGTTTCTAAGAAGCGAAACAACCTGGGAATGCGTTTAGGTAATTATCCAACACCTTTTCATTGCCAAGCTTGACTCAAATAACACGAGAATTTTTCGTGTTACATGTAGTTTAATTTCACTGATTGTAAATTTTGTGCACTTCGCGGAAACAAAGTTTCGTTAGAATAGAAAAATACAATTGAGCAAGATATACCGAAGCCTCCTAGTAGTTGTATATTAACAGTAGGTATCAATTTGATTAACTAACCAGGATTACCAGCTAAAACTCCGCAAAAGATTCAAAGAAAAGATAGATATGTACATTAAATTCAGTTAAAGAAATCCAGTAATTCTCACAGGAGTAAATTTTCGGAGAGTTGACTTAAACAGAATTTAATTCTCGCGAAAACCTGATGCCGCAAGTTTTTAGTTAAATCCCAAGATCCCTAGCGTGCATGCAGCTTTCACCATTTGGGGAGAAAGCATCTCCTTGCACGTTGCCTGTCTTCGACTTGCAAGGTTGTATTTGCGCATGTCTCGTGCAAGCTCTTCGTCCATCTCCGTTAAAATGGCACTTCTCACACTCTCAACTCGATGGTTAAACTCTAGCTTGCCAAAAGGAACAATCATTGGCACCTAGAAAAATAAACGAAACAAAACAGCTCATAACTTTAACTGTATTGCAAGAACTAGTATTAAAAATAACCAAAGGTTACGGAGTGCGGGCGACAACGATCGAAGGTCAAAACGTTTCTCTGTAACGCTTTGCGTAAGTTTCGCGTGATAGATGATCAAAACACGTGCGATTAATACAAGTGATGGAAGATCCCAACGCGTATGATCATGGATTATGTTCGATGCATTCCGTTCTTTCTTAGTAGAAGTCCAAACGAAGCTGGCTACATACGTGTGGAGCATGCGTAATGACGTAAGGGAAAGATTGATGTAGTTTGAAGTCAGCTATTTTATCCTAGGGCGTTTTTCATAGTTAACATCGAACTCGTTTCAAGACCAACCGTAGCGAAGTGACTTTCGTGAGACGTATAAAAGAGCTATCATTTGAAACCTTGATAACCTAATTTCTCTTCTTGGCCACGTGTAAGAGAATCCGAAATGCAGGAATTTTTTGCTTTTGGAATCCGGATTCCTGGCTTTGGAATCTGAAATACAACTCAAGGAATCCGAAATTCCACTAACAATTGCAATCTGGAATCCAAGTTCCACTGACAGAGAATCCGAAATCCAGTGACTGGAATGGGATAATCCAAGACTGTCTTGCATTCTCCGGGGGGGGGGGGGGGCCCCCCATAAAAAATGGGGGGGGGGGTGGGGCCCCATTTATATCCCAAAAGAAAGGGAGGGCCCCCCGGGGGGCTTTCTCTCCCATGGGGCACCTTTTTTCTCTTTTTTTGTTCCCCCCCTTCTCCCCCCCCTTTTTTTTTCCCGTGGGCACAACAGACTTCAATTTTTTCTTTTCTCCTGACTAATAGCAAAAAACGTGCAACGATCACCATAATGCCCGACATAGTTGGAGAGAACGCACCAGTACTCTGCCGAAGAGGTGTCCGGGCTTGGCAGGTGGAGGAGAGAGCAGGAGGGCGGGGTGGGGGGGTGGGGGGGGGGGGGGGGGTACTCCCTGAAAAATGGGGTGGGGGTGTGCGGCACACTTATATAGCCAAAGTAAGGGAGTGCCCCCCGGGGGGCATTCTCTCGCATTGGGCTATCTTCTTAACTCTGATATGTACCTGCCATTCCTCCAGCCATTCTTTGGTCAATGCGTTACAACGATCTTCAGTATTTCCTGTCTCCTGCCACGCTAGTCTTCTATGTCTTCCATTAATCATCAGGTCAGCTTTAAGAACACAGTCCAGGTCTGAGGTCTCCAATATCTTACTGGTACTGTAAGCTCGGAGCCTTTCCTTTCTTAATGTCTCTGGTGCAATCCTCTGCTCAATGCTGCCTTGGCTTAGAAATCGTCTCAATCGCCGACTAATTCTACGGAATCTTCCTGCCATTTTAATAGTAAACCTCCTACCATGATTACCAATAAGAAATAGTTAATATTGAAGTGTCTTTAAAGTAATATATCAAGCACATGAAGGAGAGTTCAATCTGGTATCCAAAAAGCAAGGAGTTATCCTTTAATCTGTAAATGGAGTTTTTGATCTGATATTTAAGCACCGAGCAGTAATATGTCAAGCACGAGAAAAAGTGCTTCATCTCATATCAAAACGACAGGAGATAAAATATCCAAACACTTAGAAGTAATAATTATATCAAACACGAGCAAGAGTGTTTCATCCGATATTCAAACATTGCGAAGTAATACATCAAACACGAGGAAGAGTGATTTATCTGGCATGCGAACAACGACGTAATTTATGAAACACGAGGAAATGTTTCACCTGATGTCCAAACACTTAATTACAGATGAATCAAGTGTCGCCTATTCCTTTTAGAATGTTTGAGTCCGCTTTTCGTGATCCGGTAAATTCGTAAAACAACAAAAATAAACGTTCGCCAAATTCTTTGGTAATTTGGGGCATTTCTGTTTGGTCTTAATTTGAAATTTGATTCAACCAATCAGAAGCACTTCCCAGATCTGGGTAGTGACGCGTCATCAGTATGGAATTTCTGCGCTCGTTCTTTCGACGACATTTGGCGGAGTGTAGCTAAATGTCGTTTTTAGTGGGTAGGGGTAGTGGGTGTGGGTAAATGTCGTGGGTGCAAAAAAGTATAGAAATAAATGATTAAATAAAGTAATTGAAGAAATAAATAAATGGAACCGGGAGTTCCTGATAGACAAAAGTTGCAAAATATTTATGAAACGAAAATCTCCGACTCCTCGCCGAATTGCCCTTTTCACGGCTTCTTCTTCCTTAGACTGCGAAAACATCCGTTTCTCCTCGCTCTTCGCCGCTGGGGACGTTTCTCGGGGAGGAACGTCTGCGACTCAGCGACAGAAATTCCATACTGATGACGTAAAATATGTCCGGAATCCGGTCAGAAGCGCTGATTGGTCGACGGAGTGGTTACATTGTTTTAGCTGTTGTTTACGAATGACAGACAAAAGATAAAAGGCCACAAAGGTCAAATGTAAACGCGATGAATCTCGAACAAAACAATCAGTATTTGTGGAATATAGTCTTCTCTAGAACAAGCATTTGAGTTTTGGTGGAGCTCCTTCGTAGATGAACGCAACATTTTACCAAAATCGACCAGGAGAAACGTAAAATTGAATAAATTTGCATTTGGAACCCCATGACTACCGGATTTATTAATTAAACAATGATTAACGTCATCAGTATGGAATTTCTGTCGCTGAATCGCAGACGTTCCTTCGCGCGAAACGTCTCCAGCGGCAAAGAGCGAGGAGAAACAGACGTAAAGAAAGAAAGAAAAAAGAAGAAGAAACAGACGTATAATATTTCGAAACGTGCAATTTACAGAAAGTATGCGAAAGCTCTGACTCGCTGTATGGAAATAGATATATTTTATTGGACGGTTTAGTGTGTAGTATCGTGGGATATTGTTACGAGTCACGCCGTATTTCGGCGATCTCGTTGGGCGAGTCAAAATACAAGACATTTCACAGAAATTAAACCTGTTACCCTCAACTAAAGAAAATTAAAATCATTTGTTTGTTCCAAAATTAATAAACATCCAGAATAGATAGATGGATAACCATATAACTCAAATGTGATCGCCTTATGCCATATTTTAACCAGTGTTCGTCAAAAGAAGTAATTCGGATAAGCGGACTTTTGCGTTTCTCGAAAACAAATTCCGCAAATCTAGATTTCAGTCTTTAGTGCGGGGAACCAAGCTTCGCAGATGCAGATATAGTGAACATCGATATAACGAACCTCTATATAACAAAGTCCTCGATACAACGAACGATTTTCTTTACCCCAATAATACCGATAAAATATATGAAAAAAAAACCTCGTTACATAGCGATCAAATTTTGTCAGCCCTTTGGGCGTTCGTTAAATCGAGGTTCCACTGTATGTGCTCTTGATAAATACCGTAGTTTTCTTTCTAGAAAAGCTCGAATGGATGGACAATTTTACCTAGTGTTATTAATCGAGAGAAGTCAGATTTGGATTGACCCTGTCAGGCGTTCGATTATCAATTTCATACAATCGGAAAAATCTCTTTTTATTACATTTTTACTCTGGACCACTTTTTGTTGATGACAGTGATCGTTTTATGAACGAAAATACAGAGAATCAAGAACAACCATTTTTGGCGTGGTTTATTTCAGCAAATTTGAATGCGATTCACTATGCGTTCTTTTTTCTTTTTTTACTTTTACCTTTGTCGCAAATAAATACCATTGGCACCGTTTAAGTGCGACTGCCTTTTAATTTTGCCACTCTAATTATTTACTACGCCATGACATTTCGAAACTCGCTGCCAATAAGGGCAATACCTTCGAAACACTTGCCATAATGGTTCCGAAATCACTACTAGGCGACACCAACAATTTTTTTCTTGTGAGCTCAAGCGCGACAATACCGAAATTGCATTAGAACTGGCCACCAAAAATCTTCAATACATGGCATGTGTAAACAATCCTTAACGATGTCCTTTAGACCCTGACAATGGTATTATGACTTTTCTGTTTATTCATTTTCTTTTCTTTTTTAGAGATCATCTTCGCTATTAATTTCACAATTAACCGAGAAGGCTATAGGTACTAAAAAAATACTGAAGGATTAGAGGTGTTTTGATTATACTG